TACGATATCTTAAGTACTGTCAGGGCGCATGTCGCCAGTTGCTGTATCGCTGTTTGCATGCAAGACAAGTGTGAATAATCGGAGTGTGAATGCAATGCGGCCTGGGGGCTTCTCAGCAACCGTCGAGCCCCTCAAATGGGGCCCGTGTGCAGGTGCAGCATGTAACACTGGGCCACGCTTGTACCCTCTAGCCTGGAGTTGGGCCAAAGTGTCGACGCCCAGGCCCGTTCAGACAGTGTCCTGGGACCAAATTGGTTAGGAATGCTCAACAACCCAGGGCCAAACGTGCAGTGTTCCATACTCTCCCCACCTTGCTGGAAGAGCCTGGAAGGCTAACGAGCAAGGCGGATGTAACCAACTGGAGTGTGGCATCTGTCTGGTGCCCAGCAGGATTTGCAAAAATTGACGAATTCAGGGCTCATTGGGATTCAGGGGCCCACCTTCCCTTAGGACGGGCACGCGTCTGCTGCAGGGGCCTTATGCAGGTATGCCGAGGGGTAAATCCTCGCACAAAGAGGAACATAACAGACCAACTGGGAGACTGCCGAAGGCATCAGAAAGACACATATGGAGAGACGGGGAAGGGGTCACAAATAGTTGAGACAATAACGAGCATTCGAGTCTAGACAGCGACTCTCCTCTTGTGATGTCTTTAGCTTTGCGTAGGCCTGCCTACTTTGGAGACTAAGGCAAGCTGACAGTCGATCCTCCATGAAATGGACCAATGAATGCTGTTCAGGGGTCCTTGGGCCGGAAGGAAGGAAGCGTGTGTGCGTACATTGTTGTATTCTCTTGACTCGCCAGTGGAAAGGGACCGGACTGACATTCCCCGAATGGATATGGAGCCAGGACCATAAGGCCCAATTCAAAAAGAAAAAGAAAAAAAAGTGACCCCTAACATTATTGTATCGTTCTGATTGTGACAGGATTTGAATTCATGATCTGTTCATTGATAGTTACATGTGTACCATTGAACCACAAGGTCTGCACGTCTCTCGTTTCAACTGACCAGTGAATACAAAGCTTTTTATTTCTTTGACAGCATGTCAGGATTTGAACTCATGATCTGTCCAGGCAAACAGATTGTAACAGATCGTTTTCAGAAGGGAGTTCAATGAATCTCCTCTCACCAAGGCATCGGCTATCGGGCCTGTCTTTCCAGCGAACGTTTCTCGCAGGAGGGTAGCGTTCGTCTCCTTGTCACCACCCTTCAGATCTTCAATGCTACATCGCTTGATGCCATAGTCAACTGCAAGCCAATACAAAAGATGCCCACAAAAATAATTATGAGCAATTAGAACTCGAGAACCGGAGAAGTGAATAATCGCCCAACTTGAAAACTAGTTCAAACTTCAGAACTTCGAAACTTAAAACATCCACTGCAAACTGCCTTCAATAGGTCCACCCMCCCCCATCGCCTCCCCCCCCCTCCTTTTAGCATGCAAATCCTTGGCTTCCCCCTCTCCTCCCGCTTCCTTTGCCCGTCCCCCCCCCACTCCCCTCTCCAATAAAAACAAACGAATAACAAAGTTCGAGGATTGAGCCCTCATGGGGCCCTTACAGACATGCAAGTGTTCTGGGCTGTGGCCCCCAGCAAGCATTGTGCCCGCCCTAAGTGAAGCCGGGCCTGAATATCCACAAGAGGCCTACTTTCAACATTTTCCATATGTGGGTATCAGACAGTTGCAGCATGCCAGTTGGTTACCGAGCAACGTGAGCCTCTCCTGGCTCTTTCCAGAAGAAGCAACTGTGACATCCAGTTGAGCCCAGGGCTCGGGTGGTTGCGCCCTGGGCACACGCAGAGTGAGGCCGACACATAACGTAGTGGCCGCCGGCCAATGAGAAAGCAGCATTGTCGTCACACATGCACCACGAGCCATGAGAAAGCGACAAACACTTGGAGCCTGGAGGGCTGCCTGGATATGCCCAACTGTAAAGGGCCCAAGCCCCTGGCAGCAAAAGTGGGCCTCGGTGGAGACACTGGGGCCCGACTGGAAGCTACTGGAAACTTGTCCAGCCAGGCCCATGCCGCCCAACACAGGGCCGCACTTTCCATAAAGGAAAGTGCCCTGCCCATGCAGAAGCGTTCTGGCCTGAGCAGGGAATGCAGCCACGCTGCTGCTACGCCTTGCGAAGCTGCGCTATGCAGGCAAGCCAGGGCGCACGCGGGTGCAAGAGGTAAGAGGGCACTGCGGTGGCAGTGGGCGCAGAGCGGCCATAGCCGGGCTGAGCGTGCGGGAGGCAGGTGATGGAGATGGTGGTCTTCGGGTAGGAGGAGCATGCAGACGGGAGACAGGGTGTGATGAGGAGAGGGGAGAGAACATACCTGGTGTATGCTGGCAGTCGGCATTGGTGATGACGTCACGTACATTGGTCTTCAACTTCGATGAGATCCAGTCGCATGAACGTAGATAGGATAGACAGGCTGAGTAGTGTAGGCTGGGCGCCAGGCGCCAGACGGTATAAGCAACATTGGATACAGTGTTGGTGTGACCAGAGAGCGTCGGAATTGGCACTCAAGTTCATTGTATTGCTGTTATTTGGATGGTATCTTGGTGCACTGTGCTCTCTGCTTGGTACATGACTATCTGGACTACTTCGTGATTTTGCAACTTGGTTTTCTGTCTATCGCTCTCACTCATATTCCTTGCAATTTAGTATCAGAGCTGGTTCGATAGACTAAATCAGAGCTGGTTCGCTATCGCCATTACCGGAGCTGGCGACTTTGTTACTTGGTGCGCTAACGAAGCTCCTCCACAGTGACGATACATTGGCGCTGGCTTGTTGAGCGACTCCTGGGTAGAGGGGAGAGTCGATGGAAGGCTGTGGTGACAGCGGATGTATGTGGGATGATGAGAGCATGCTGACATGGCATTTCGGCTGAGGTGGCACTGCATTGCATTGTGAGTGGTGCCAAGGCTGTGGCCGGTCATCGAAATGCACGTTGGCTCAATTGGTGAGAAATCTGTGGTTGGGGCAGCTATCTTCAGGTACGTTGTTTCTTTACCTTATCTTCCCATCTCAATCTCTTCTTACTGTGAGGAAGTGAGTTCGACTTGAGAGTCCTCTACTTGGTCAGGAGTCGTGAGCGCTCTACCTTGAGAGTCGGCATTCTTCCTGGTGGCGCATCTGGCAGTAGAGGGTGGTGGCTCTGAAGGGCCCTGGACGAAGCACGGGTCACGGTCACCATGCCAACCCAAGGGAGTAGTGCATGCAGGCCAGACTGCATTGTCCTTTGAGCTCTTCGCTGCGCTGTAGAGGGAACGTGGAGTGACCAGTCCTATGCAAGACATGTACCAGACCGTCTTTAAAGAAGCTCTGGCGGGATCTGACATCTGGCTGTGATCGTCGTCCTGTCTGCGGGGTTTAATAATACCTGAGGACTTTGGGGGCTGTCCTTAAATTGCCTCTTGATCAGCCCGATCATCGGATGTAAGACTCGTTGCACGCGAGGGTAAACAAAGAGCAGAACTGGTCATAAGCGGATTCCTGGGCACACGGGTGGGCTGATATGCACACCTAAGACACCGCTGCTTGATGATGCAAGTCAGGATCGTCAGATACAGGGGAAGGAAAGGTTCCAATTGGTGCTCGTACACAAACAAAATTATTCCCATTTCTGCATACATCGGCACAAGTAATTTATTTTTATTTTGATTAGCTGAGGTGTGACCGACTGCTAACACCTGACAGACAACAAGAGACTAGAACTGTAGTATTCTACCATTGCCAGTGTTGTGTGATGCTGCTGTAGGAGAACTGATCAAAGTAAGAGTATATTATTTGCTCAGTCTGTGAATGCCCCGTTGAAACCAGTTGATCGTACCTGGTTGACTTGCCGAATAATTATTTATTTTTATTTTACAACTCAGTCAGACACATGCTGTGGTAGGCCCCAGCGAGGGCGCTAGTGCAGACAGTGATCTGCTTAGCTGATGACCGGTACAGATAGTGGGGAAGGACTAGCTGACCACAGCGTACGGACGCACCGGGACACACAAGGGATTCCGGTGGTGTTCCAGGTTCTGCTACCAGGGGACGAGATGAGGGCCCGTAGTTTGCAGACAGCTAGGGAGGCCGCAGCAGCTGCTGCGGATCGTGTTTTAGCAGCAGCAGAAGCTAGTGCTGAAGCTATGGCAACTTCTGCAGTGACCTCTCAAGGTCAGCAGACATCAAGAACCTTCGCTATGTCTTTTGTCTCATCAAGTGGGGCAAGTGCAGGACCATCCTCTAGTCAGATGGCAGGCTCGCAGTACAGCAGACCACCTACGGCCACTGGAGAGGAGTTAGAACTCCCGCAAGTAGAGCTACTCCGCTTACAGCTAGAGAAACAACTTAAGGAAGCTACCGACAGACAGACAAAGATTAAGAATAGAAAGGCCAGAATGGAGAGCAGAGAAGATGATATGACTGTGTTAGAAGGGTTGGATGACTTGATCCTTGATGATGCGAGAAAGGTCATCAAGGCAAGCATGCTGAGTATGCACGCGTATATGGACAGTAGACTGGATGACATCCAGTCCATCCTTGACCAGATTCTGAAGGCCGTGGAAGGGAAGGGAAGAGCAGTCCGTTCCACAACAGGTGGGCCCAATCTCTGGCCTCCAGCAGCATATCCATCGCCGCCATTGTATCCGGAGATGTCAGGACCCTTTGTTCCTCAGTTCGGTTTACCAACAAGTGGTACGTCAGCAGCAGCAGCACAGACTGCGGCTTCTTCATCCTCTGGTCCAGCTGCTGCAGCTACGGGGCAGCCGGTCCCACAGATGGAACCACAGCAGCCTTGGTACCCCAAGACTCCAATGAAACCACCTCAGACCTTCTTTGGTGATAAGAAGGATGAGGCACTCGACACTTGGTTAAGAACAGTTCCACTGTGGGTAAGGGCGAAGAGGACGTTGCAAAAGAGGTGATCACTGCCACCTCGTATCTTGAGGATTCAGCAGCGAGATGGCTAGATGGACTAGTGGCATCCAAGGGTTTCGGGCGGCGTATGAATGATCGGGCACAGACCCATACTTTGGAGAGTTTCATGGAGTTGGTTGAGGCGTGATGGGACAACCCTCAGCAGGCCTAGCATGCCTCTGATGCGTTGGCCCAGCTTCATACTAGAAAGTACAAGTCTGCGCGGGAGCTCACCATTGCGTAGAGAAACTCATTGTCGTTCCTGGTGTCCGCTATGATCCACAGGTCCTGCTGACCATGTTCTTGAGATGTCTTCCCGACATCAAGAACTTGATGGTCATGAGGCAAGCATTGATTATCATACTCTTGACTCCTTCAGCAAGGCCTTAGATTCGGAGGCTAAGCTAGGAGGAGAACAAAAACCTGTTACAGACGGTGGGAAGAAGAAGACCCCACAAGAATGGAAAAAGAGGGGTAGTTGACTGATGATGGTTGATTTCGATGGGAATCAAACTGAGATTGATGATCTTTCCGATCTTGGGGATGACACAGAGTTGGTCAGCGAGGAAAGTGTGGAGGGTAACAACCTCGCGGCGTCAACAAAAGGAAAGGCTACTGGCCGCGACAAGGGCTGTCGGCAAAAGAGTCATCGACAGGCTCAGAACTCAAACAAGACTCTGGCTTGGGTGAGGGTTGGCCTCGAACAAGATGTGTGGAGGGACAGGTACTGGCAAGGAGCTTGCATCAACTGCGGCGAATATGACCATCAGCAGTTCAGATCCAAGAATGCAAAGGTCTCTCAAAAGATTCCCCCTAAAGGTGGTTTTGGGGGATCTTCCGCCCAAGGTAGTGCTTCTACGAGCACAAACCAGGGAACCACATCTGGCCAATAGAAGTTGTAGTTGCTTCTACTCATGTTGAGGTGGATGTTGCACTCTCACCACTTCAAGAGTTGGCCGAAGCTATTGACTCACTAGTCACCTCGCAAACGCACCAGGACCAAACGATTCTCTGTTTGTGAGATATGTCTGAAACCTTAGAAGACTTAGAAACCGAGTGGTCGGCAAGGGACCCTCGTGAGTCTTGGGTGGCTTTGTGAAGAGGTCCAAGAGGGGAGCATTTCATTGTGGAAGGCAGTGTAGGTGGCCGCAAGTGTGGTGCCTTCGTAGACATTGGCTCCACGCGGAACTTCATAAGTCGCGACTGTGTTGAGAGACGGCGCCTAGGGGACCGGGTGCAGAGGAGGAGTAGACCTCTAGCATCTACTCTTGCCAACAAAAAGCGCATAATGGTAAAGGACTATGTTACGGACGTGGTCTGCACCTTCTCTTATGGAGGTGGGGA